ATTCTATATATATATATATATATATATATATATATATATATATATTGTAATGATTTAAAAAACATAATGGGACACCAGTTTGTATGCTTTCTGAAGGAAGTGGCGCCATTTACTCCCTAATAATTTACATAGATGCATATATGTGATCTTAAGTCGCTGGGGTATATTTGTAGCAATAGCCAAAAAAACATTGTATGGGTCAAAATTATCGATTTTTATTTCATGCCAAAAATCATTAGGATATTAAGTAAAGATCATGTTCCATGAAGATATTTTGTAAATTTCTTACCGTAAATATATCAAAACTTAATTTTTGATTAGTAATATGCATTGCTAAGGAATTCAGTTGGACTTCATTTCCTCAGATTCCAGATTTTCAAATAGTTGTATCTCGACCAAATATTGTCCTATCATAACAAACCATACATCAATGGATTATTTGAACAAAGCTTATTTGTTCAACTTTCAGATGATGTATAAATTTCAGTTTAAAAAAATTGACCCTTTTGACTGGTTTTGTGGTCCAGGGTCACATATATGTAATTAATTAATTCTAATGTTAGGTTAATGCAGACAATGCAGATCCCCTGCTTACCTCTACTTCTATAATCATCTGAAGTTTAAATCCTAGAACCTTTATTTGCAGTTGCGTCTTGAATGACACCTGGCTCTGACATATCATGCTTATTTATTTTACATTTAAATTTTTTTTTTTTTACAGGATGATAATCTGATGGATGTTCTTCAGCTTCTGGTAGCACTGATGTCTGAGCATCCCAGCTCAATGGTTCAAGCCTTCGATCAGCGGAATGGAATACGGTGAGAGCTGTGGTTGCCCCTTGCAACTAGACAATCTTTAACCCACATCTTTATTAAAAACTATAAATGAACCTGGGGAAAAAACTGACAGATGAATTTGAATGAATCTCTATGGAATAATGGGAGGCCACGATACCTCATTCTTAGCAGAGACATCTGAGTCCTGCTCAACAAAACCTATAAAAACACTTTCATAGGTTCATCTGATACCTATGCTGCTAATATGGGCTACTAAAATGCAGGCATTTCCATTTCCAAATCCTTTATAGACATGCTAGTTCCACTGACAGCCACGGGGTTAAATGTGCACGCTAGCGGGGGGGGCATCTGGATAGCTCATCATGATGAAACAGAGGGCCTCACTTTCATTTTAGATCTGACAAGCTCGTTCAAATCACACTTCCATCAAATCCTACTCCTGAAGGATATAGGCAGATTTATTTTAATATGTAGACAGTATAATAGTCTCGGTTACATATGAATGTACACGTCAGCTCTTGTGAGTCACTGCGTCACTGGTATTTTCTTTTGTCAGAAAGAAACACTGAAAGTGATTGAAAACAAAAATTCAGCATCATATTTAAGCCTGACCCTGATTGTACATTTGTTTTAAATATAGTAAATATGGTTGTTTTGAACTTCGTTTGTTGCAGTGTATTTGGGTCAAAGACGTTAAGATGTCCGCATCAAAATAAATTTACAAAAGTGATTTTATGTCCATAGAAAGCACATTAAATGCAAGTGTCTACATTTAAGGTTTCAAATAGGTTTTTGAAGAATAAAATGTCAAAATTTGGTTGAAATAATGTTCCATTGTCGTTCAGTGTAACACTTATAGTTATGTAAAAATTCAAACAACATGCTTATTCTGACCTGTACATATAAAATATTTAAAAGAATAAGTGAGCATATTAAATTTTATTGGGTTTTAAATGAGTAAAAAATTATTACTGACAAATGGGCAAAACCCAGGATAGTGGCAAATTTAAAACTAATTAGTATTTGGGGTGAAAGTAATTAGTTTTTTAATATGTCATAAATTGATTTTTGTTGTAAATATGCCTGACAAGATTGTTACACTGAATGACATTTTAGTGGGTC